TTCTGAAATGTGCACTAGAAGCATCTGATTCAGGAGATGATTTGCTGAGCCAAGAGTCATTGAGAGACATGAGAAGTCAAGCCGGACACAGTCAATGCCTCTGCTCAGAGCCTTGCCACGGCCCCCACTGTACCCATTTGTAAGAACCAAAGTCCTCACAACTGCCCACGGGGACCTTATGTGATCTGCCCCCCACTTTACCTCTCTGGCCTCACTCCTCCCATCGCTCACTCCTTTCCCACTGCACTGGTCTCCTAGCTGAGGCTGCGATGTGCTCCTGCCCCAGGTCACCTGCCTGGGCTCTGCCGGAATCACTCATCCAAGATGAGTGTTAAATTCCTAGGGGTCTAACTCTTTCTTCCTTCATGGATTTGTTCACGCATCACTCTTCCAAAGAGGCTTAGCCTGATCACCTACTAGAAAGGGTCTCCTACTGCTCCTTACCGTTCCTTCTTCCCGTAGCATTTCATCGCCTTCTAACACACTCTAAACAATTTCCTTCGTTATTAAGTTTATCACTTATTTTTCTGTCTTTGTCTACAGAAGGCAAGCTCCACAAGGGCTGACATCTTTCACTGGTTTGTTGGTGACTGTATTCCAAGTACCTAAAACAGTGGCTGGCAAATGAGAAGTGCTCAAAAGATGTTGACATTTGGAATAAGAAAATGAAACAGCAACACTATCCAGTGGGAGCCCTGAAGTGAGCTCTGCCCTGAGGGAAGGGCTCACATTTCCCCCTTTTGGGCTCCAGTCCATAGGAACACCAGCTGCCGGCTCCTCCCTGGAGTCTGGACAGTGATGGGCTAGAATTTTAACCATGACCTTCCTAATATTGAAATGCAAGCAGAGCAGCGGTGAGAACCAAGCAATTTGTTGTCCTAACAGATTGACCAATGACATACCACAGCTGAGAGGCTTTGAAAAGAAGGCAAAGATCTGGAGAACAATTGTAATTGTGATGTATTTGGTCATGATACAGTTGCATGGTGCTTTAGCTTCCTGGGTATCATGCCTGCATTGTAACAATCATTTGCAGTGGGAAGAGATTAAGGTCCCCACCTTAGGAAGAAATGTTTATGGATGTATTTTTACTTTTTAAAAAAACACTTAGGTAAAATCCACGTAATAGAAACTTCACCATTTAAAGTGTACAACTCAGTGGCAATGAGTGTATTCACAAATGTTGTACCATGGCCTTTATCTAGTTTCAAAGCATTTTCTTCATCCTTAAGGAAACCCTTTACTCATTACCCGGTCAATCTCCATTACCCGCTCCCCACAGTCCCTGGCAACCACTAATTCGCGTTCCATCTCTCTGGATTTACGTATTCTCGGTGTTTCACGTAAATGGATTCACACCCTATGAGAACTGCTGTGTCAGCTTCTTTTCACACAGCACGACGTTTTCCAGGTTCATTAGGTTGTAGCGTGGATTAGCATTTCACTCCTAGTAGTGGCTGAATACTGTTCCATTGGATAGTATACCACCTTTTGTTTATCCATTCATTATTTGATGGACTTTTGACTTGTTTCTACCTTTTGGATTTTGTGAATAGTGCTGTATGAATATTTGTATACAAGTCTCCGTTTGGACACTTGGTTTCAATTCTTTGGGGTCTATATCTAAGAATGAAGTGTACATTTATTTTTATCCACTTTACTCTAAGTTTACTTCCTGTAAGACACAAACTTTTTCTGAGGTGGCATTAGATATATTAGCTAAGTTGGATATTAGACCACATTAAGAAAAGTAGACTCATGATACGAGAAAGCAAAATATACATAAAACGCAAGTTTCACACAGTGGCTACAATTAGATTGAGAATTTGACTCCTAGGTACCTGGCAGGTGTCAAGACTTTTCTAAGTAAGAAATGAAACCGAGAAGTAAAACATTTACAGAAGCCATGCAACTTAAAAGATGGGTTTGACTACACAGAAATGAAGAACTTCTGTGTTATAAAAGGGAAACAAAGTTAAAAGATTACTAGGAAATTGGAGGGAACTATTTGCAATATCAGTAACAAAAGGTCAATATCTATAATATGTAAATAGTACCGACAAATCATTAAAAAAATAATATATTAGGCATTTTGCAAAAATAAAGATTTGGGGTGGGGAGAAGAGTCCAGCAAATTGAAAACAAATTTTAAAAGACAGGTATTGATGGGAATATGGAGAAAAGATAAAACAGTGTTAGTTGGAGAGTATATTGGTGACCCTTTCTTGCAGGGCAAGCTGATAGCATGGTACTGGCGACAGATACGTAGACTGATAGAGATCAATGACACAGATAAAGGAACTCAGAAATAAACCCTCACAGATCTTTGACAAAGGAGCAAAGGCAATTCAATAGAAAAAGGATACTCTTTTCAACAAACGGTGCTGGAACAACTGGAAGTCCAGATGCAAAAAAAAAAAAAAAAAAAGAAAGAATCTAGACCCAGATCTTATATCTTTCACAAAAATTAACACGTAATAGTGAAACTTCAAAACACTTGAAATATAAAGGAGAGCTTAAAGGATAAAAAACAAATTACCTACAAAGGAAAGAAAATCAGAATGATATCAGACATTTCATCAGCAATGCTTGATGCATAAAACCAACGTGCAGTATATCCAATATATCCAGAATCAGTGGGACAGCTCTGCGGACAGAAAGAGATGGACACCAATAGAAGTCATGTATGCATCATTTTGCTACTAGAAGAGACATGCATTGCACCCTTCAGCTTACCAGTCTCGACTTTAAATGAGACAGAAAACTAAACATTTCAACCGAAGCCTGGAGATGGGATTACAATAAGCTTGTACGAAAGAGAATTGGAAATAGTATATCCAGTTTGGCTAAGCTAATTAAATACTGTGAATCTGGACACTTAGGATTTTCCTCAACTGTGTATATGTTCTTTTTACATCACCTGTGGCAGAGCAGTTATCAAAGCTATTTATTTAATCCCTGTGCCACACTGTACTTTCGAGAGAGCCTCTGGCAGCCGACAAGGTTTACTTTAGAGAAAGCCTGCTGGTCAGTGGGATCGCTCCGCTCTAGATAGCTCCTTCTACCTCAAGACATGATTTCAGTGGAAAGGCTTTAGCTCAAAAACAACGTAGTTTAGCCAAATCAGTTAATCAAAAAGTAAATTGCCAGGATGTGCAATTTCATCATGTGGAAAACTTTTGATGCTTTATCTCATCTACTCGCCAAATTCACTCTTGTAATTAAAATCACCCATAGAGCACCAGATGGGGATTTTATGTAAGCACACAGAGAGGCGTGCCAGGACAGTAAAAGGAGCTTCCAGGCTCAGCTGCCAGCTCTGCTGAGCGCGGGACTGGAAGAACCAAATGCCCAAGTGGGTGATTGTGGGTGCCTGCCGGACAGCAGACCCCTCTCGGTTTGCCAGTCGTGCGAATGGAACGGGAGGATGATTTGTACCAGGCGTAGGAAAGCCCTGCTGTTTAAAGCCCCATCCTGGGTCTAGAATGTTTTAAAAGTTCTTTGCCTCCTTTCCAGTTCTATTCTTATCTGATTTTCCTGATGTGTGGAGAGGTTCTCTATTCTCAAGCAGTTGTGGGTATGCAGAGTCAGACCTTGGTTAAATGGATAACCTTCATAAAGACATAAAATCAGCAGAAACAATGGAATTTTAATCGCTCACTTGGCATGTTTTTATGGTCAGCAGGCAGGCATTCTAGAGAATTGGTTAAATACATTTTAAAGCAAAAAGTCATCATGCAGTTTTTTGTTTTCTGGTTCCTTGAAGTTGAGTCAAATCTCAGAATACAATGATCTTGGATCATTGGGACTGTGAACAAATGCCCTATTTTTGTGTCCAAAAGTTATCTTAGGGCCCCATGCATTGAAAAAGAGTGATTTTTTTTTTTTTTGGCAGAAGGGGAATATAAATTTGAGAGAGTAGTAGGGGACTAGGAAAGATGACAATTTTGAGTGCAATCCTCAGGTATGAAAGGGCAGGGAGGCTGGAGGGGCCTTCAGGCTGCAGTCAGTGCATTATTCTGGGGGAGTCTCTCACTTAAAGGAGGTTTCTTCTTCTATCCAGGATGCTGCAGCCCTTCCCCAGCCCCCCAGTGTCAATCAGACAAACGCAGTTTTAGATACTGTGCTCTTAAGGTTTCATTCAGAGAAAGACCTGTTTGCCTGAAGAGTGTGACCACCATCACCTCGCCTGAGAATGACTTCAGGAACCTTAGTTCAGAAATCACAGACTGACTTACTTGATTTTGCAAAACTGTTTTCTTTTTAAATATGTGTAATTTTACCATTCCCTCCTCTCTTTTCCCAGATGTTTAGCAGTGAAATTCCCCTGACTTACAGTCCAATTTAACAACTCCTTTTGGAGAAGGAAACATAAGAAATAGAATATATAGGTACAGTTATTAAATTACTAGAAACAATAAGATAATTCATCAAGGAGTCCAATTATAAATTAATATGCCAAACCCAGCAGATTTCTTATATAAAAATATGAACAAGTTTTATATAGGCTGTACAGGAATTTATATAGGAAATATAATGGAAGAATATATTCCATTCTTATTGGCATCACAGAACGTAAAATACCCAGAAATAAACCTAATAAAATGGGTAAAGGACTTTTTGGGAGAAAACTGTAGAACTCCATTGTGAAGCCATAAAAGAAGTCTTTTTGGTTGTAGTTGTTGAAATATAGTTGGTTTGCAATGTTGTGTTAGTTTCTGGTGTACAGCAAATTGATTCAGTTATATGTAACCATAGATATTCTTTTTTTCATATTCTTTTCCATTACAGGTTATTACATGATACTGAGTATAGTTCCTTGTGCTATACAGTAGGACCTTTTTAATCCATTTTATATATAGTATATATAGAAGGTTGTATCTGCAAATTACAAACTCCTAATTTATCCCTTCCCCACCCTTTTTCCCCTTTGGCAACCATGGGTTTGTTTTCTATGTCTATGAGTCTGTTTCTGTTTTGTAAATAATTTCATTTGTGTCATTTTTTTTTAGATTCCACATATAAGTGATGTCATATGATATTTGTCTTTCTCTGTCTGACTTACTTCACTTAGTATGATCATCTCTAGGTCCATTCATGTTGCTACAAATGGCATTATTTCATTCTTTTTTATGACTGAGTAGAATTCCATTGTATAAATATATACCACATCTTCTTTATCCAGTCAACCGTTGATGGACATTTAGGCTGTTTCCATGTCTTGGCTATTGTAAATAGTGCTGCTATGAACATTGGGGTACATGTGTTTTATAAAAGAAGTCTTGAATACACAAGTTAGATACTACTTTGTTTTGAGATAAGACTTTCACTATTTATCATGCTTTTGTCATTTAAATACCAATCATGGAGATTTCTCTAAGACAGAAGATGAGTTACAGTAGTCCTTTTATCAGTTGCATAGAACTTTCCCAAATGGCTACACCCTGCCTATGGTGAATATATTCCAGTTTTTCTGAATTGGAAACGTTTCAAGAACTGGCTCATACTTAAAAAATGATTTGTTGGTGCTGTTCATACGTTATGGATGTTGATCTTTTGTTACCTATGCTGCAAATAACTTCCTCCAGTTTCTTAGTCATTTAAAAAAAGTCCCCCCTTTTGTTGTACAGAAGTTCTTCATTTTTATGTACATAATCAAAAACCTGTCTTTTAAGTTTCATGGCTTGTGTAAACATTTTACTTTGGGTTTTCATTTCTTACTTGGAAAGCCATTGGCACCTGCCAGGTGCCTAGGGGTCAAATTCTCAATCTAATCATAGCCAGTGTGTGGAAACTGCGGTTTACAACTTCAGGGGCTCCTGCCTGCAGTCAGCTGGCTGTGGCTGTGACCCTCTGGGTGCACCTGTCTCCAGATTTCAGAGTGCTAGTTGCCTCCCTTCCTCCGTTCTCAGACAGCTCCAAGAAAAATCACTGACTTTCAGTTTGTTCAGCTTTTGCTTCTTGTAGGAAGAGAGTGATGGCTTTTAATCTTATATATTGGGACTGACATGAGAACATGTTTAATGTAAATTACTTTTATTTAAGTGCTAAATAAGTTTGTGTAAATGTAATTTAGTAAGAGAAGGAATTCTGGGTGAGGAGCAGCTTTTGGGGGTGGCATATCAGAAATTCAGTCATTTTAAAAATACCTTTACTTCCTTAGTAGTTATAAAATTAACATTGTATAAAAGATTTTAGTGGAAATTTACAAAGAATAAAGATAAAGTTCTCAACAATCTTACTAACCAGAGATGACCTATTTGGACTAACTCATTTCCATCTCTCTCTTCCCACCCTTCTCTTCTTTCTCCTCTCGTCTCCTTCATTCTTCTTTCTCCTTCTTTCCCTTGTCTTCTACCCCTCTTTCTTTCTTTTTATTTACTTATTTATTTTTTCATGTTAACAGTACCTTTATTTCTACATTATTTTACTGTTTCAAACTACTTTCATATACATTACCTAATTTGGTATTTCCCTTACTCAAAATTTAATTTTTTTTAAACTAGAAGTATAGTTGATTTATAATGTTGTGTTAGTTTCTGACATACAGCAGAGATAGGAATCAGTCATGTTCAGAAGGGCTTTTAGACAACAAAGGTATGGAGTGGTTGGCTGTATGGGTTTGAGTCAGGGAAAGAGCTGAGGCTGGAAATTAAAATTTCTCAGTCAACAAACCTGTGTTATTTAAGGTCTCTGGTGAGCTCCTCTCTTCCTCAGCTGCAGTCCTCACTACATCCTGTAAGAGTCTCAATGATCCGCCTTGTTATCTCCCTGACTTCCACTTCCCCCTTCTGTCCTTGTCAGTGAGCTTAAGCCACACGCCCTTTGCTGCTTGTTAAGTAAAGCAAGGGCTGCTCCTGCCTGACTGGCTTCACCCTTACGTCTCTGCCTCCAGTGATTTTTCTGAGTGTCTCTTCTCACTTTCTCTGGGACTTAAAATCACTACTCAATGGCACCTTGCCTAAAATTGCTTACCTAAAATCCAGCCACCTGTATGGGCACCTTGTACCTCCCTTCTTCTCAGCACGAGTCACTGTCTTACATGTTCTATCTGATAGACTCTAATTTCCATCTCCCATTTCTCTCTTCAGACTGTAAACGCCATAGGGAAAGGAATTTTTCCTATTTGTTTCACTATACCCCTAGGTTTTGGGTCCACATTATAAAAGTAAGAAGAAACAAGTGATTGCAGATATTAACTACTATATATAAACTAGATAAACAAGGTCCTACTGTATAGCACAGGAAACTGTATTTGATACCTTGTAATAGTCTATAATGAAAAAGAATATGCAAAGGAATATATATATATAAATGAATCCTGATGCTGTACACCAGAAATTAACAGATTGTGAATTGACTATACGTCAATAAAAAAAAGAAACGGGTGAAAATAAGTTTAATAACATACTATATTTAACCCATTATATCCGAAGTATTATCATTTCACTATAAAGTTATTAATGAGATAATTGACATTGTTTTTTATGGTTTAAGTCTTCAAAGTCTGGGGTGTGTTCTACACTCACAGAATATTTAGTTTGCACAAGCCACATTTCCAGTGCACAGTAACCACAGGTGGCTGGAGGTCCCCCCGTACTGGGCAGTGCTGTGTGTCCTGCAGGCTAAGTTAAAATTGGGACATTTTTCTTGGGAGAAGTGGGACGTTATTGAAGGGTTTTAGGTAGTGTTTAGGAGTGACATGGTCAGCTCTGCTTTAACACAAGTCACAGTGGCGGTGTTGCCAGTGACTAGGTTCGTGTCCCGTTGCAGAAAGAATTCAGAGACGAGACATGGAGATTAAGAAAATAAAGTGAGGATTTATTAAGGGATGGATGGGACACTCTCAAGGGGAGAGCGGGCAGGCTCAGGTGAGCAGCTGCCCTGAGTTTCTTTGATAAGTTGTTTACACAGAGTGTAAAAATGAATGGGTGGAATAGTCATTGGGGAGGGAAGGGTTTGGAGTCCTAGTCCCTGATTTTCATACCAGCTTCCACTTTCCTAAGGGAGGAGGGATTTTTGTCCTTGTGTAGTCTGGATCGGAAGTGTCATGGTGTCGGCGTATGATGGGTACTTCTGATCTGCAAGGCTAATTTTATTGAAATTTGGACATAATAAACAAAAGGTTACCTTTGGACACTGGAGAGTCCTGCCTTTTCCCACCTTTCTTTGTTGGCTTCCAGGGCACTTGTCACCCCCAAATGTGTGGCTGTTCATCAGGCCAAAGATTCCTGCTTTTCTTTGTCTGCCCAGGGACCCTTGTTGTTTACACGATGTAGGGTTTCCCACATTTGGCCCCGTGCCCCTCCTTTTTGGCCAGTTCCTGCCATTTGGCCTGTGCGCCTCTTTCTCTGCTCATATTTAGCTATCTGCCTGCTCTAACAGCGCAGAGTGGAGAACGAGGGAGGGACTGGAGAGAGCACGAAGGGGAATTGCTTGAGCAGCCTGGGAGACAGATCAACTGAGAGACAGACGGAAGTGCCTGGACCAGGGTGGTGGCAGCAGAGAAAGACTGAAGACAGAAGATTCAGGGGACATTCAGCCAGTAAATTCCACAAGGCTTAACAACAGTTTGATGCAAAATAGACAAGAACTTTATAAGTCAGATTATTTAATTATAATAATCTTTTATTCCCTACCAGACAGAAAACAGGTTTGACTGAAACACTGTTTTGAAGAGTTTCTTCTTTATTTCCAGAGGTCGGTTATGCTTGGCTTGGGGTCGTGAGAATATACTGGTTAGGACAGAAATTCAGGTTTTAATGGGTAAATCAAATGGCCACATGATGGTGCCAAAACCTTGGTAGTCAACATGGCTTTTCAGACCAGCTTGCAAATCCCTTCTACAGAAATGTTGCCACCTTGGCTTAATTATTTTATTTTAAAAAACAAACCAATTCATTGAACATAAATAATTTTTTTGTATTTTTCAAAATAGCATTTTCTTTCTAATCATGTTCTTAAATCAATAGGTAGACCTGACTTAGTTCTTGTTATTTTATACTTGTAAAATTAGAGTTTTCTAACCCAGACTAGCACATTCTCAGAATTGTGCAGAATAGGGATGAAAGTCTATATTTTTTAATTTAAGAATGCTGGCCTCATTTATTAGAGAATGCAGAAATTTGTCCATAATACTTTAGAAGGCATACTAAGCTTCAGTAAAAGATATTTGTGACGCTCATGAACCCAGTTAGCTCCGGACAGCATTTGAAATGGTTAATCAGAGGACATTCTGTACCCTGTGTATAGGAGACTCTAAATTAATATTTGCTGACATGGTGACAGCAAATATGAATTAATGAAAACTGGAACCACCTGTTGGCCAGAGTCTGTCACTTTTTCCAAGTTTAGTAGCCAGTTTTTATTAATGAAAAATCATGGAGTATAGAGACTTGTAAATATTAGAGATGTAATTTTTAGCACACCTTGGAGACCCAAGAAGGGGGTCATTTATCCCCTGAACAAACATTCTCTGAGAGTTTACTATCAGGGCTATGATTTGAGGGTTGGCAAATGACCCTTAATGCCATTACATAACCACCTTCTAGAAATGTACATGCCACCAAGAGCCATAGGCACAAGAATTACCAAGCATAAGCTCTCACATGCTAACAAGATCTAGAATCACAAATTCCACCAAGTCCCCAGAGGCCTTCACCAAGTGCTGGTTCCACAAAGTGCCAGAAAACACCAAAACCTAGAATTGTATGTGCCTTTAAAGTGTTATGGACTGCCACGAAGTGTCAAGACACTGCTAGTGTCACCGACATCTAGAAGTGCAAGTTCTACCGGTTTCTAGACCAGAAGTCAGCAAACTGTGGCCTGCAGGCCTACTGTGTGTTCTAGTAAATGAAGTTTTATTGGACCATAATGACACCTACTCACAGACACACCGTCTATGACTGCTTTCGTGCAATAACAGCAGAATTGACTAGTTACACCAATGACCTTTTGTCTATGAAGCCTAAAAATCTTTACCACCTGACTGCTTAAGGAAAACGTTTGCTGACATTTGCTCTAGACCCCCAGTTGCTCCCAGTCTATAATCACAAGTGTCATTAATTCCTAGAATCAGATTTGCCTCAAATATTTTAAATCAAAGTTGCTACCAAGTCCAACCAACATTGAGAAGTGCAACTGGGTCAATGAGTAAACTTACAGAAAACATCTGAGAGGAGTGATTAAGCACTGGCAAAAGTTGCCAAGAGGGTTTCTAGACTCCATCTTTGCCATTCATATGGAATATTAAATAGACAAAAATGATAGGTTTTATCCAAATTCTCATGTTGTTATTGACTATAATTTTTGACCTTTCTTAGGGACATAATTTTTGTAAAAGAAGAAATAAAGAGGAGAGGACAAAGTAATAAATGTTTTATATGTGAACTCTTCTTGGATATTAATTCTCAGTTTCAGGAGTACTGATTTCATTAACCTTGGAAAATCAGAGTGTAGGTAAAGGATTATGAATATAAATGAACTCAGAACTTGTCGACATCTACTTTAAAGAGCAATCTAAATCTGTCAGATGGGAAGGGGCTGTTGTGGCAAGTTTGGTGACTAGGCTGATGTGAGGGTTTGAAGACACAAATATTATGTCATCTAACACTCATTCATTACTTGTTTAATTTAAAAGCTAAAAAGGAAAAAATGGTCACCTCTGGATTTGTGGAGCAGATTAGAGATGGACCAACAGTGTACTCAGATCTGGGGTGAACAGATTAGTTGATATCTGAGACTTAGAAGTCCATCTGCAGATGAAATGCCCCTGGGAGTGAACACAAAATCAAAACTATTTCTGTATTCAGAATCTCAGGAGATCCTTGGGTGTCATCAAAAACAAAAACAAAAACAAAAACAAAAACAACAAAAAAACAGCAAGAGGCATGAATTAGAGTCTGAAGTGCTAGTCCCCAGTTGTGTGTCATTGGGCAAGGCGCTTAAGTCTGAACCTCAGTTCTTCATAAAAAACTGAAGCTCATCACCATCGTCACCATCATCACCTCCGTTATCACCATCATCATCCCCATCACAGCATCCTCACTAGTACTGGGAGGCTGCTTATATGGGTCACCTTTGCCTAGATTATCTCTTTTAATCCTCACAGAAAGCATAGATTAGTTTCCTCTTTTGACAGATGGGGAAATTGAAGCTTAAAGTAGAAGTGACTTTCCCAAGGTCGTGCAGGAGGCAATGACTGAACTGGGCTGCTCCATAGCCCATTGTTTTAACCCTGTGCTAATGAAAACTCTGCTTCTGTAACTTTTTGGAAAGAAATTTCCAAAGCATATTAATAATTAAGGAGTGTTACTATCTTTTTATCTGGTAATCTCACTTCTGGGAATATTGTAAGAAAATATGCCTATAAAAGTAAAGCAGATAAAGATATTCATTGCAGCATTATTTCTCCTGGTAAATTATTGGAAGCTTCCTAAATGTCCAACAAATGAGACAAGAGTAAATAAATAATGAGAGAGGACACAGAATCTTAAATATTCACCATGAGGCCTATTTTGGAATGGAGTCTAATTTTCACATAATTCACTCATTATGTGAAAACTGGATTTACCATTTTATTAACATATGATGCCAATTCTGTACAATTTTGCATATGAGAAAAGAGTAGAGCAATACAAAGAAAAGTGTCAAATATTTTTTCCTGAGGGGGTGATATTTTGGGTGAATTTTTCTTCCATTATTGTCATAATAATCTGTATGAAAAATGAATAAATTTGAAATTTTACCTATATACACCTGCCTGTGTAACTCATAGAACTGATACAGGAAAATGAATGTGGGGAGAGGGGACAGCTGTGTCCCAGGTCTTGGTTGAGCCCCTGGGACGTACCCTGCCAAGTGTGGGTCCTTGGCTTTGCAGAGAAAGGGGTTCGAGAGGGAGCCACAGTTGAGTAAAGGCAGGTTTACTCAGAGAGATACATACTCCGCAGACGAGTGCAGGCCGTCTCACTCAGAAGGGAGAATGGCTATGAGGTGTGGCTTGATAAATTTTATAGGTTCCA